AATCGAAAATCGAACCGAAAACCCGATTACGTACGTAACAATTTATACTTTTTGTTTTTGACGAATGTTTGCTGTTTACAGTGTTAATGCTGCTGTTGAACTGATGCCGTATCGGTTAAGGCATTGCCTGTGCCTGTTCCGTATCGAAATGAAAGGCACCTCAGGGCCTACTCTCGAGTGGAAAATGAACATAGAAATACCCGAAACATGGTTTCCGTCGAGCTGTGAGTGGAATCTTAAAGCTCGGAAATATATGAATTTCTCAGGATGAAGACAAGGAGAAGAAGACAATCGCCTAGTGAGAAGTCAACGGGAACTTTCGGCAAAAACAAGCAGCCGGAAAATAGTCCAAATACTTTAATCAGCACAAACAATTCTACTAAAAATTCTCAGACGTAAGGAGTTGTCATTTTTATTTCAAAATTAATGCCGTGTTCTCCTAGCCAACCTTCTCAAGCGGAATTAGCCAAAAAAAAAAAAACAAACAAACAAGACTGTGATGTTGATGTAGGTCAAGAATGTATACACTTTAGGGGTTCGGATATGCCCATTTTCTTGCTCCATTGTGCACCCTAAACATTTGCAATGGGCAAAAGGCACGCTTGCCTGGGCTAGCCAAGCGAGCACCAGGGAATTGATGGCAACATAATAATATTAAAATATAAAAGCGTGGACTTACCCGTTCCAGTTTTTGAAAATAGTTGCGCAGGAATTGCACGGGATTGTCCGGTCGGCAGACGCACAGCTGGACGATGCAGTCTTTGAGGACGCGCTGAATGCCATGCGATTGTATATAATGTTCGCATTCGCGCAGGCTTTGCTCCTCCAAAGTCTTGGCCATCATGTAAGACATGTGTAAGTGTGTCGATGCGCGTGTGTGTGTGCGTGTGTGTGTGTGTGGGTGTGTGGGTGTGTGTGAATGAGTTGAAGGTAAAAGGTTGGAACTGAAGCGTGTTGAAGCTGTAGATTGCGCAGATGACAACGTGGTTGCGGGTTTTTCTTTCTGCAATACGCAATATACGCGAACTATGTAGGGTATTTGTATGGAATTGTGACTGTGGGTGTGGGTGTATGTGTGTGTGTGTGTGTGAATGTGTGTGCGGTTAATGTTTGACTGTGGTTGGCTGCTGCTGCTGCAGCTGTTGCAGCTGTACGAATTGCAATTGTACTACACACTACAGGAAAATCAAGTAAATAAACTTATTGAACAGGGGCGTCAAGTGCACCGCGAGCACCACTTGTGTATGTACATATGCATGTATGAATGTATAGCTTTTTCTCTGGTTTTGCTTTTGGTTTTGCTTTTTCTGCCTTTTCTGCTTTTCTGCTTTTACTCTTGGCTTTTGGCACTGTTTTCACTTTTGCAATTCACGTCGTTTAGCACTGCTGCGGTTTGTTGCTGCCGTTTGTCAATTGCCTACCCGTTTGTTGCAGCATTTAGGGCAATTTCTAAGTGGTTGCGTTTGTGCGGAATACTGTTTTTTCATAAAAACTTAACTAATTTTCACGCACGTAAACCACTATAGTCGTTGTTGTTGTTTTTGTGAAATAGTGATGGGCGCCAGTGTGAACAGTTGGTGCCAAAAATACTAAAGCTTATTAAGTATCGCTATCGATAACGGCCGTCTATAAAATTTAACAACACTATTCTCTAACAATGCAACCGAGCATTGCTGTTGCCAATCTTACATTCACTAAATTGTATAAAATACTAAATTTCGCATTCCAAACGGAATATCGTGCTTAACAGTACTCTCACTTAAGTGGTAATATAAAATGCTGTACCGATTAAAACAGCTTTAAAAAAATACTAAAGTCACTTAATATCGTGTATAACTATCGATAACAAACACAAATCCAGAACTTACAGCACTGATACTTTGTTGGCAGCCACATAATAACGGTGAAACGAAGCGCTGTTATTTTTAAATGTTCACTTAATTAAAATAGCCCGAAAACATTAGCAATGTGGATGATGCAAGAAAACAGCAATTATTTGTGCCATCAATTAAAGGTAAGTGCCCGCCTGCCTCACTTTCGGCTCAAGCAATTGTACATTGCCCGACCCCCGATGGGGTTTATTGATTTTTCTCGCTTAGCTAAAATGCTGCACACGGAATCGTTGCCCAGTCATCAAGGTATCTACACGCCGCTAAGTCAGGCAATGACCGACTCCGAATCCGATGAAGAGATTGAAATACACAACGCCAACAAGCATCGACAGGGACAGCAGCAGCAAACGCAGCAGCAGGAGCAGCAAATACATCATCAACAACGCAATCGCAGCCGCATACCACCCAATACATTAGCTTTAAAATCACCGCACACACGTCCCACAGCAACACGCATCGTAGGCGGCTCGCAGCCAAAGCAACAACAGCAGCCACATCAGCTAACGGAGCAGCAGCAGCAGCAGCCGCCGTCCAACGGCAAGGCAAGCAGCTACACGACGAACATGCAGAACACATTCCGTTCGGTGATGCTCAGCGATTTGGGCAGCACCGGTGCCGGCAATGTTGGCGTTGAGTTCTCCAATTTCAATGGCGAATATGATGTGAGTGCCGATAATGTGGCCATTTTGGGCAATCAAACGGACGAGCCAAAGCGTCCGCCCATGTCGACTAGGAGACGCATCTGTTTTATTGCCTCGCTGCTGTTGTGCCTTTTCGCCGTTGTTGGGTTTGTTTGGATTATACCGTGCGGCAATGCGGATGGCACTGGCGCCTGTCCAGCGCCCGTGGATCGCCAAAAGACGCACAATTGGCTCAATAACTATACCAAAATCGAGCTGAGAGGCGGCGTTAATGTTGTCGCCGGCCTGCGTGCCTGGGAAAATAATCTGATATTTCTGTATCGTGGCGATGTCTTCTTTCCGGAGTTTCGTCCCAACAATCACAAGCGCAATGGCATCATATCGCTCATTGGCAGCTCCGGCGCTGTTGCCTGGTACGATGAGACGGTTGACGAGCCGGTGGCCATAGACTGCACCCTGCTGGATGTGGACAGCAACGGGAAACCGGATTGCCTGGTCATCGATGAGTACGGTGAACTGGGCGCCATCAATGCGGCCAGCGGCGAGTGGCACTGGCGCTTTAAGGATCATGCTGCCCACAAGTTGGACGCCTACGACTTTCCGCTCATCTTGCCGGACATTGATGGCGACGGCGTGCTGGACATATTGCTTATATCTAGCCTCTCGCTGGAGCAGCGCACCAAGACGTTTGTGCAGCGCCAACAGCAGCCGGGTTCACCGGCTGCAGCACAGCTGGAGGCACGCAATGTGCTGCGCCTGCTGTCGGGTCGCCGAGGTCGGCCCATTGGCGAGGGCTTTCGTGTGCACGATTGCCAGAAATTGTCCAGGCTGCAACTGGACACAGCTGCCGCTGCTGGTGGCAGTTCGGGCGTCTCCTCTGGCACCGCCTCCGCAGCCATGCTCAACATTAGCTACAACTGCTGGCGCAACAGCACGGAGCTGCAGCGCTCCAAGACGCTGGCCGAGCTCTATGCGTTGATTACGAACAAATCGCTTGTTGGGCGACGCCTGCTGCCCGCATCGAAGATCTCGCAGCATCGTCGCTATGGCCAGCGCAAGGAGATGGATGCCCAGCGAAATGTTTATCTGCTCAGCGGCCGCGAGCTGCTCGTGGAGAATCGCGGCAAGTGTCCCGATTGCAATGTTACGTTGAAGTTGAGCGAAACGCGCGACGGTCGGCGCAACATGCTGCACAATTTCACGAATAGCGGCATGTACGGCATGGTGCCGGCCCAGTGGCACTTCAAGAACACCAAATCCAAGATGTCGGGCTTTGTGATAAAGTTCTGGAAGTGGCATAGTCCCTCGACTCAGCCGCAAACGCAGTCGAGCAGCGGCAACAACAGCGTGGACAAGAGCCACAACTATACGAACAGCAGCAGCAGCAGCATTAGCAACAGCTCGAAGAATATAAATGCCATCCGGGAGAAGGACAAGAGCAAGGACAAGTCGTACTCAAAGTCTCAGCAGCAGCAGCAACAGCAACAGCATAAGAAGCAGCAACAACGCCTGAAACGTGACTCGCTGGACCATGAGTTTCCCGCGGACCAAGTGGAGTTCGATGCCTTTGAGCATTTGTTGCCGCTGCAGAAGCGCGAGGCCTTCAGCATGCCCGCCAAGAATCAGAGCAAATCCAATGACAGTCAGTCGCAGCTCATGAAGAACTACAAAATGCAAATGATCACCGAGACGGTTATATTGGTGCTCTTCATTGGCGCCGATACGCGCATCGAGAACACCTCGCAGAGCAATATCATCCAGTTCTGTCGCAACGATCGCAACGAAATGATCTGCCAGCCGGATCTAAACAATCAGGAGAATTCGATGCTTATTGCGGATCTCGATTCGGACGGTTCGCAGGAGTTGGTCTCTTACATGTCCACCTTTGTCCAGGCAAACGATGAACCCACCAGCGATTGGAAGCTGGTCAGCTATGTGCGACTGCTGCGACTCCAGGCCGAGTTGCCTGCCTTTTACGACCAGGAAAAACGCAACTAGGTGTCACCAAAATCGTGGCACAGAGAACGTGTGCATTTACAACCCACTCACTAGTCAGCTATATGGGGGCATTGGAAGGGATTGGGCGGCGGCGTCGGCGGCAACATACATTACTTAGTAGTTAAATTGCTAGTTGCATTATATTACGATAACATTTAACAATTACAATTGTACTATATTATAAATAGATACCTTTTCTAGAATCCCAAAATAAAGCACTCGTGGCAATAAACGGCAACTGTTAACTTTGACTACGGAAACTGCTTGATATATAGAGCTACGGATTTCCAAATGGACATATTCGGTAAACAGACATAATGGAAACGGGGAAAAGTATTATTAAAGTGAAACACTTACGATCTGTGTATGCTTTTTGCCATTTTTGGTGACTTTAGCTCTTGTAATCTCCGACCAAATCTGCTGATGTCTCCTTGGATGCGTTACTCATTCAAATTAAATATAGCTTAACTTTTATAGGGGTGTACCAAATGAGCAACCTTCTCGAACGTGTTGCGACATTTCGCAGTTTATATTTTTTCTTTCTAAAAGAACTAACTACCACAAGTGCATGGTAAGTTCAGGAGCTTAACAACTTCTTAAAATTCCACATCGTTAACATAACGTTTGTAGCTGGCCTGAAAATTGGCCGATGACCACTGATCGGTTATAATCTTAAACTCAGCCTCCAGGCGCTGCAGTGACGCCGTGTTGCCCGTTTGATTTAGCTTCTTGAGTGCTCGATAATGCTGCACAGACAATAAATGCGAGAATATTAGGACGGATCAGAAAATGGTCACATGGTTTAACTTACATCGGCTGTGGTGCTGGAAATAAGTTTGGCAACCGCCAGAGCCTCATCGTTGACAGTGCGCGACTTGCACAGCTTGTCGATGAAGCTGCTGGGTGAATCGACCACATCGGATGCGTGCAGACGCTCGCCCAGCAAAAACAAACGCGTTTGCTAGCAAAGAAGAGAAGTTAAAATAAGTATGGCAAACATATGTGCATGGGCTGGCCTACCAGTTGGGTGGAGACCTTCTGGTGTTTGAGCCAAAAGGCATAGCCCTCCGGCAACTGGCCAAGCTTGGCGTAATTCGTCTCAAAGCAGCAATCATCGGCGGCCAGCACGTAGTCAAACAATGGCAACTGCATAACGCCCAGATTCTTCAGGTTTCCCACAATGCCAGCCACCAGGGGCTTGGGGAATGTAGCCAAGGTGCGTAGATATGTTCTGAGAGAAACAGTTTATCGGTTAGAAATTTAGTAGACTTCAGAAATGCCAAGTGCTCACTCACTTTAAAACTAAGGCCAATTGCGTGGCGCCACTTTTGCGCTTCTCCGGCGTGGCTGCCACCAGCTCCTGGCAATCGATGCCCTGACAGAATTGTTGTCCCTGCACGCTCAGTAGCACCGTGTTGCAATCGTTGCTTTTGGCCAATTTGTTTAGCATTTCGGTGAGTTTTTGCAACAACTGCAATTTGTATGTGTAGCCCGTTTTCGAGAGCTGCGTGTTGATAACTAATTGCGCAACCTTCTCCAGCTTGTGCAGCGTCACCAGCTCCATATTGGCTACCTTTACCTCTTTGAGCTGCAGTCCGCCACGTTTAAAATCATTGGCCAGCGTTTGCGGTGCACTGCCATCGCTTCTTTGGTTGGCTTTGTTTTCAGGTTTCAAGAATATAAACGACGGATCCATCGCAGACGCATCTGAGGCATCATCCGACAGATTGGCCACTGTGCCGGGCTTATTGTCCAGCGACAGTCGGTTGACAGACGCGTTACTGGAGTACGAGCTATTGGAGCGTCGACGCATAATCATAGACTCCTCGCTGGCCCGTTGCTTGTAAACATAATCCCAGGAATCAGATGCACGCGGCTTCGTGCCCTTGGTGAACACAGCATCCACGGCAGCTGCACTGTTTGTTGTCGCACGCTTGCCGGCTTTGGGTGGGCTCTCTTTTTTCGTGGGCGCTGCTGCAACCTCAACTGCATTGGCTACCGCTGCTTTCTGTAGCTACAAACCAAAACAAATATTGAGATACTACACTTGTTATTGTTGGGGGTTCCTTAGCTTACCCTTCCTGTTATGGTGAGTGCCCGCTTGCGCATCAGCGGCTTATTGGCTGCCTCGCCGCCGCTCAACTCTCGCTGTTCACGCTCGACAGCTTGCATCATATTGGCGGCACCCTCGTCACCCATCAGGCGATCAATTTCGCTGACCTTCTTCTTTTTGGTCAAGCTGCCGGCACCATTTGGCACATTCGGTGTCTGAGAGCGACGCTTGGGCGGCGATGTCATCGCATTCGATTCTGTAAGTTTTGCTGGTGTTGCGGAGCGTTTGACAGCCGCCTTCGGTGTCTCTTTGGGTGTAGATGGTCGAGGCTTTTTGGGCGCTGTTTCCGCGTTGCTTGTCTTTGTTATTGTTGTTATTGTTGTTGTAGTTGTTGCTGCTGTGGCTGCGATTGTTGCTTGCGGAGCTGGTACGCTTGTTGTTGCTTTTGCAGCTGCGGTCGCGTTGGGCTTCGCACTTGCATATTGCGCAAAGGACTTTTGCGTTTCAGGCACATCTGGATCCCAAATAATTTTGCGCTTTATAATGCGCGTACGCTTGAAACCTGCAAAATGTGCATTCGATTTAGGATTTATCCATATTATCTGTATATATAATGCTCACCAGTGGTTTCCGAATTGCTGCTGGGCTGCTCAGCAGCAGGTTTGGGCTTCTCCACTGGTTTTTGGCTGACGGATTTCAGCATTACCTTAACGCTGCCCACCATCAGCGGCGCCTCGATGACTGGCTTCGGCTTCTTGATGAACGGCTTCTTTGTGGCGTGTATTGCTTTGGAATTGGAGGCAGTGTCACTGCCGCTGTCGTACTCGTTCCAGTCATCGTTCAGCGAGCTGATAATGTCCAGCGGTTGTTGCTGTTGCTGCTTAGCCGTCGCTGCCGCTGGGTCTTTGCGCCGCGATTTCTGTGCCGTCAGATTAGCCATTTGCTCGAGTGCCACGGCACGTGCCTGCTCCGGCGACAGCTTCGATTTGCCAGTAAACTTTAAGCCAGTCTTTGGGGCAGTCGGACTACTGTTAACTGTTGCCGTCAGTTCTGGACTGGGCCCGCTCACATTGTCACCGTCATCGATTTCCATGATCTCGTATTGCCCCTCACCCTCAATTGTGACGCCCACATTGTCCAGCTTGGCTAGTGTCAGCTCAATGTTGGACTTTTGTTCACTTGCCGCTGGCTGAACTGAGTGCTCCTGTTCCTGATCGGTGCCCTTGAGCAGTGCTATCAGATCGGCTTCTTCCAATGCGGCTGCTGTTACCGGCTCTTCCTTGACATGCGCCTTGTTGACCGGAGTGCAACGCTTTGTGGTTGTTAGCTCGTCCATGATCAGTGCATCATTGCTGCTCCCATTGCCGTTTTCGGCTGTGCTGCCAGCCGGGGCGTTTAGCAGCGGTGTCGTCTCCTCTTCCTCTTGGCCAGACTCTGTGCCATGCTGTATGTTATGCATTTTAGCTATTTCCTGCTCCAATGAGCACAGCTCATCGAGCTTTTCGATTTTAGGCTCGTGGGCCAGTGAATCGTCGCTGGATATTTTCTTTTCCTCATGTTTGGGTTCTGATGCGACCGCTTTTTCTGCTTCTTCTGCTTCGATGCTGTTTGTTTCCGATGCTGCCGCTTTGGGCTTTTGCTGTGCATCTAATTCTATTACACCAACTTCGGCCATATCCCGGGTGCCTTTGAATTGGTTAACTTTTTATAAAAATGCACTTTAAAGTTGAAATTCCTATGCACTTGAATAAGTTTTTATATACAATTTTTCATGCACTTGCTGCAACAGCGGCCATTTTATAGTGATGAGCATGACAAGAACTAATGAATACTCGTACGCGATACACATAATATCGCATGGTGTAGCAAGTAACGATTGGTACTCACTTTCGTAATATATCGATTGATAGCATCGATATGGTTTGACAGCTCGAATCTCTACCCCCCACACTACTCCGATGAATACTTTATAGAAAAAAAGTCTCATCTGCAGCAGGATAAACGCTGATAAGAGGGCAATTTGTTTATTTTCACGTCAGTTAAAATAAAATTAGCTGCTCAAAGAGCAAGCACTAGACCGACGGCAAGACAAGCAGCTATTCTAACATTAGCGACAATCCCTGAATACCGCTCGGTCGTGGCGGCAACAACAACAACAACAACAACCAAAGCCAAAAAGCAAAATACACAATTTGGCCCAAAGTGGTGGCTGCGACAGGATGTGGGACTCGTCAATGTTTCTGAGCACATTGACGCCAAAGTTTTATGTAGCGCTCACAGGCACCTCGAGCTTAATATCGGGCCTCATACTGATTTTCGAATGGTGGTATTTTCGCAAATACGGCACCTCATTTATTGGTAAGTTTTGCTCTTGTTGGCAGTTTCGAGTTTTTACCCCCCAATTGTCAAATTTGCAGAACAAGTATCGATCAATCACATTAGCCCCTGGATCAATGGAAACGATGCACAATCAGACAATGGCAGCGGCAGCAGCACCAGCAGCGGCTCCAGCAGCAGCAGCAGTGGCGGTGGGAACGGCGGCGGTGGCGGGAACGGAGCAGGCGGAGGCGGCAATTCGACCACCTCAACCGGAACACCCGAATGCAAGGTATGGCGCAATCCGTTGAATCTGTTTCGTGGCGCCGAATACCAGCGCTTCTTCTGGGCAACCAGCAAAGAGCCGCTCACCTATTACGATATGAACCTGAGCGCCCAGGACCATCAGACGTTCTTCACCTGCGAGGGTGATGCACGCAAGGAGGAGTATGAAATAATGCAGACAGCGTGGCGTGAACGCAATCCCATGCAACGCATCAAATCCGCACACAATGCGCTCGAGATCAATGCCGAATGCGCACCGGCATATATACTGCTCGCCGAGGAGGAGGCCATGACCATAGTGGAGGCCGAGAAAATACTCAAGACGGCACTGAAGGTGGCCGAAATTAATTATCGCAAATCGCAGGCAACACAGCACCAGGGCGCCATAGCCGACGGGGTGCACCGGCGCGACACAAATGTCCTGATCTACATTAAACGCCGCCTGGCCATGTGCGCCCGAAAGCTGGGCAAGCTCAAGGAGGCGGCCAAAATGTTTCGCGATCTCACCAAGGAAATACCCTCGATAATGAGCGTGCTTAACATACACGAGAATCTCATCGAGACACTGCTGGAGATGCAGGCCTACGCCGATTGCCATGCAATACTGGCCAAATACGATGACATCTCGCTGCCGAAATCGGCGACCATTTGTTATACGGCCGCGCTGCTCAAGGCACGCGCCGTCGCTGACAAATTCTCGCCGGACATTGCATCGAAGCGTGGCCTAAGTCCGGCCGAGATGAGCGCCGTTGAGGCCATACATCGGGCTGTTGAATTCAATCCGCATGTGCCCAAGTATTTGCTGGAAACAAAGCCCTTAATTCTGCCGCCAGAGCATATACTGAAGCGTGGCGATTCCGAGGCCTTGGCCTATGCATTCTTCCATCTAAAGCACTGGAAACAGGTCGAGGGTGCACTGAATCTATTGCACTGCACTTGGGAGGGCACATTCCGTATGCTGCCATATCCGTTAGAGCGCGGACATCTCTTCTATCCATATCCGACGTGCACCGAGTGCGCCGATCGTGAACTTCTGCCGGCCTTTCATGAGGTATCCGTCTATCCGAAAAAGGAGTTGCCCTTCTTTATACTCTTCACGGCGGGCCTGTGCTCCTTCACCGCCCTATTGGCCCTGCTCACGCATCAATATCCGGAGCCCATGGGCCTGCTGGCACAGACCGTACTTACCTGGATATTGTATCCGATACAGTTGCTCAAGGAGCGCATCGAGGCATTCTGGCCGTGCAATTTGCTGCAGCAATTGTCGCGTGTCTAAAATATAGCTAACCGAAACGACGCCAACGCACACAACATGCACACCCACACACACCCGTACACACACACACACCCACACACACCCGTACACACACACACACCCACACACACACACACACACGCATACCCATACACTGAACTAAGATCAGGCATACGACGGGATGCCCTCAATGCATCTCAAGAGAAGAAAACCAACCCAAGCTACAAAAAAGAGAACTCATACAAAAACATGCAAACATATACATACCTATATATATATACATATATATATATATATATATATATAAACATATATTTTGGATCTTTGTCTGTGTTTCGTGAAATAATAAAAGAAAAGCAAGTATAAACAATTTTCCAGCGCATGAAACTGATTTTAAGTGAGACAAACAAACAAAAATTCAATTCAATAATTTCGCCTATTTTGTTCCTATAGTTATAGTTAATGAGCTAGACCGGTCCGATCGTTCGAGAATATCGTAAGAAGTAATTAATTAATTGCCACTAATTGATGTGTTTTTGTGTGTGTTTCAGCTTGGCGCTCATGTATTTTGCTTTTAAGTTTTATTTAAATACGATTAGTTTATGTACGACAAATATATACGAAATTGATAAATTCAATATTTATTTCAAATTTATCTTGTGTTGATTATGTTTTCTACTTTGTTCCTCGTCTCTAAAGTTCCCATTTAAAAATCAGATAAATTCATTCAAAATATTGTTAAATCGAGGAAGAAGGACCGAAGATCGGCACGCCAAAGATCTAATACCCTTGCTGACCCAACCTTTTCATAATGCTCATAGTGCTTTGCCCCTATCTAAGAAGTACCGGGAAAATAGTAAATGCCGAGTTTGGTCAAGATATCTTGATAAACAAAATGTTTTTTCATACAACTTAATTTTCGACCGATCGTTTCTAAGGCAGCTATATGATATAGTGGTCCGATCTTAATAGGATTTTGCACATATATGAGGAGTAAAGTTAAACTAATAAATGCCGAGTTTGGACAAGATATCTTGAAAAACAAAATCTTTTTTCATACAAAAACTTAATTTTCGACCGATCGTTCCTATGGCAGCTATATGATATAGTGGTTCGATCCAGCTGGTTCTCACATATGTGCTGCGTGCAACAGAAAGAGGGAGTTCTGCAAAGTTTCATTAAGATAGCTTTAAAACTGAGGGAATAGTTCGCATAGAAACAGACAGACGGAAAGACGGACCTGGCTAGATCGACTCGGCTGTTGATGCTGATTAAGAATATATATACTATATGGGGTCGGAGATGTCTCCTTCTATGCGTTACACATTTCACGACAAAACTATAATACTCTCTGCAAGAGTATAAAAACAGCGCGTTTCAAAATTCTTCTCAAATTCAGCATCATGCAATACATCACAGCCTCCACCCGTCAATTACCTCTTATCTTATCTTATCATAACTCACCTGCTGTTGAACCTTATCAGACTTGGCGTACTCACCTGATCCACCAATGCGCGCGTACCGATGCCATCAGCCGAGCTGGAATAGGCCGAGCCCGTATTGGCTGCGAGTACTTTAGCATCCAGATTATGCTGTAAAGTGGCGTACAACAGGGGCTTCACCTGGTGGTAGCTCAACACTGTGCAGGTGAAACTTTCGCTTTCCTTATTCAATTGCCTGTTGATCTTGCTGCTGCTACTGATCTCGTGAAAGGTTTGGAGCGTGAAACGCCATTGGTTGCTGGGCATCTCGCTCTTATCGCCTAGCTATCCTATTATTGCTCGTCTCACTGATAATGCGCCGCACTTGGTCGGGTAAATTAAAAGCTAAGGTAACTTGGTCAACGTTTTGCTCGATCCCTTTGGATCATCCATTTAAGTTGAGGTGCTTGTGCTTTAGATGTAGGCGTACTCCGATCGTTGTTCGCGTTGTGATTTGGTACAGATGATGTTTGTCGAGCGTTCATAACGAACAGATTATCAATAAGAAAAATACAAAATTGATATTTTGAGTATGATTGTTTTTTTTTTGTGCATTCCACCTTGTGACGCGTTTCTTAAATTTGTAAAGCACATATATCCAATTTATAAATCACATATTTCATAGTAGCCACTGCATTCTTTGCATTTTGTTAGCATTTCCCTAAAACGATTCGGGTTTAGTGACAAATAGTATTCCTTGACAGCGACCAATATGTCGGAAAACATATCCGATAGCTGCATTGCGTTGAGCCCCGAATATTTATCCAAAATATGTATACCAATTCTATATAGCACCGATTCTGAGCTAAGATAGAACTGCAGCTGCTCATGTAGCTCTTCCCAAAGATTGTCCATGAATATTTCTGTCATATTCAGTGCAAAAAGCATCACATCCTCAGGAAAGTTGTCAGCCAAGGAGAGCAGCGTCGTTTCGAAACTCTCCGCATTGACGATATGCTCAAAAATGGATGATCCATATTTGGAGAGCACCAATGATACACCATTAATCATAAGGCTGCTGAGCCTTAGCACATTGACGCCTTCAGCATAGTTTCTGTTCGTCATATCCGTCTGATCCACCAATGTGGGATTCGGTGCCAGTAGCCGAGCTGGTGCCGTAAACCGCCTGCCATTGTTGCCGCCCACATTATAGCTTTCCGGTATTGGCTGCGTCACCTGACCAAGTACATCGGGACCCACTTTGTGCTGCAAGCTGGCACGCAACTCGGCTCCGCTAGTTTTGACCTGATCGTTCAACACTATGCCATTTCCGTTTGAGTCAAAGGTGGGACGTATGCCTTTCTCATTCAATTGCCTGTTGATCTTGTAAAGATCATTGAACTCCTGCCGTGATGGCATTTCATTCACATTGCGTATGATATCCAGCTTGCCTCTGGTGGCACCCCTAGTGCGTATCGTCTCCTTGGATATCTTGTCGAACATGCGTCTGCAAAGAACATGCAATAACAAGTCGTAAAACAAGAACGAAAAGTTTCTTTTCGGCTGGCCGAAAATGAAATACCCTTGCAGAAGTGAACCCCATCTAAAGTACATTTATATTACTTATTTCCCATGACAGACAGATGGACATGGCAAATTTATAGAAGCCTTCACAAGGCTAGATAAGCAATAGTTTAGATAGTGTACCGTTGTCGATTGCTCAGAGTGTCGCGATAAGTGCCTATTTTGCTATTGGTGGTCTCGCTGATAATGGTCGATGCCAGTTTAAAATTGTAGACGCTGTGGGTGAACAGCACCAGCGAGGCGGAGAGCTGCAGTGCATCCATGGCAGAAATATCGTCACCATCCTGGTATTTCTGCAAGAGTCTCTTATGTAACTGGGCAGCTTATTTAAATAATAATAGATATTACCAAAATCAATTCAACTACGCCGTTGGCCAAACCCGTGCCGGATACCATAATGGTGGTGATGTTCATGCCATTGACAGTCATCTGGGTAATCTGTAAAGCAAATCGGAATTAGGCTAGTGTTGGACTATGCCTTTGGGCTACACTTACGACGCCCACTTCCCGACCAGCGCTTGTGGCCACTGTCATGGCACTTGTAGCTCCTGCTGCACCAAGTCCGACAGCGCCGGCAATCACGCCCAGCCAATGATTGCGCGCCGTGCGATCTGTTACATTGATTGACTGATTGTGAATGCTGCGATCGACCAGCTGTGCGCCAGAGCGAGCCGTTGCATAGCCGGCACAGCCCAGCCCGACGGCACCAGCCACAGCCATAACGGGCGCGGCGACAGGCAGTGTTAAGACCGCCGCAATTGGCACACAAGCCGCACCCAATCCACCAATTGCCGTGGTCACATCGAGTACGCCAAGAACTTTGCGCTTTGCCGACGCTGCCGGCGTACTGCATGTTTCCAGGTTCACAATGTTTCCATCCAGAGTGTAAACGCCTCGGCTTGGAGCAACCATAATTCCCGCCGGCAACTCATTGTTGGCCAAATACGCCTTCCAGTTCTGATACACACGACCCTTCTCATCCACAAAGATCATGCAGCAATCGCGGCTGTTGTATCCATTGCGATCAGCTGTAAGCAGAGACTTTACCAAAACACATAGATCTATTTAGGGGGGAGAACTTACAAACGCAACGCCGTGCCCGGAACACTGGATGGCAGGACCAAGATTTGGAGTACTCTGCAAATTTCAGATCGGTTGTATCGGTCGCAACCATCACATAGAAGATCGATGTAAGCGATTGGCGATTGGTGTATTTACCTGAATGAATCACACAGATTAAATCAATTGATCTAGAGCTCAAGACTTTACAATATTTACTTACGCTGCTCCCAAATGCTATTGAACAATGTTTCCCGCATATGTTCATTCGCCCGACATTGTTTTTCCAATTTTTTCTTAGCATCATCAGCCACATCCGCAGCTATTTTAGGATCAGGTATTATATTCTTGATTTTTGCCTTCAAAATATTGGCTTGCTCGTGCGATAAGCTTTAATTACATAATTTCATGATTAACAGACGTTGATATGCATTAATATTAATCACTTAGGCGCACTACTCACAGGTCCCAAATAGTTTCATTGAAATATCCAAGTGATGCAGCAAAAGATTGTTGCACCTCGCGTATAGTTTGTTGGTTTTCATTATTATCGTTTGCTGCCACCAAGGCTCCTTGTTGGTTTGCATTATTATCGTTAGCTGCTGCCATTTTCTTTTATTACTTATTACCGCGCAACTTCTTGACTGCGAATGGCATATTTTGTGTGAAATACCAGCTTATATTTGTGCGATCGCATCACTTGGCAAGTGATTCAATTGCTAGCGATGGCAAACTAACCAAAACGTGTTAACGATACTGCGCAACAGTGTAATTCTCAATATATCGATATTAATAAGACAGCGATAGTTGATTGTAGCTATCGATTAAGTAGAATCTAAGCAGCCGTTATGCTCACTTGTCTATATATTTAAATAAAATTAAAATAAAATGAATAGTTACAGTTATTCAATAAATCGGCTGTACTTTGCCATTATCACATATACATACATTATTTAGCTTTCTTCAGCATTAAATCCGGCAAGCACACATACATACGCTTTCCAGACCGGTTTTGCGTACCAAAAGAACACAAAATGTGTGTTTATTTTCGTTTTGGCTTTCATTGGCATTGTGACGTTGAACTTGGCAATCTGTTTTGGCATCCTCAACGACACTGGCTGTAGGTCCCCAACGGATGACTAACTCATTGACATACCCAAATTTCCCATTCCCGTGAATTTTATATTTTCACATAGAACGCCATGACACGCAAACTGCGTGCATTATACAAACATTTATTCTGCGAAAACAATTATATATATACATATATGTACTATAAACATTCATTCTAAAAGTTAGCATTTCTTTGGCGACATGCATTTAGCGTGTTAATGTGTGCTGACTATCTAAATTTGCGAGAGAGAGAGAGAGAGGGGAGCGAGCGAGAGAGCTTTTTTCTTTGAGTGTATTACAGGCTGTTATTAAACTGGACATTCAAAAGCAACAACATAAAGTGAGAGAGAGAGAGAGCGCGCGCGAGAGAGTTAAGCAGCGCGATTTCATCTTGGTTTGAGATCTGCGTCTGGGTCTGGGTCCGTTAGTTGGGGCCAGTTGTTCGGCCAATAGCGTGCCAGGCGGTTGTGATGCGCGCACGAATTTTCGCTTGAAGAGATATTATCAAATAAATTCTGATAGATACACGACAGCATAACGGATAAAGCAAACAAAGAAAAAGCATTTTGTATTCTTTATTTTGCCTTGGCAGCGCATTAAAATTCATTTCAGACTCAATTAAACACGCGTAAGATTAATTGTAAAATTGTAAAATGAGCAACTCACAGCATATTACGCTCGACTTGGACACGATGTCCGCGGACAAAACTCCAGCGAAAAATCAAGTAAGTTTTTACGATCTGCCGTTTCCATAAATCTACATGCGAGCAAAACAAGCTAAGAGATTCTAGTCGGGAGCTTCCGACTAGGGAATACCCTGACCCCTGCTTATTCCAACACCAACTTGCTGGGCTATACAAGTTGGGTTATTAACTTGATTTATAGGTCTGCGGTGTTAGCGGGGAGGTGGCGATAGGTATAAAATGATAGATACTTGATATATACATAATATTCTAGAAGCAACATATCAAGTTTGGTGACTCTAGCTCTTGATATTCACACAATTTGCTCAAAAAATAGTATATCGATATAGATTTTTGTCGATAGCTTGGAAACTGAGTAAGTTATCGATTATCGGAAACAAACTCGATTTGCGCGGCCACTGGGAGTACCTACAGCTATAATTTCTCTAGCTCTTATAGGTTCTGATATTCTTGCGTTCATACAGACGGACGGACGGGCAGACGGACGGACATGGCTTGATCGACTCGGATATTGATGCTGATCAAGAATATATATATACTTGAAGTGGCCGGAGATGCTTCCTTCAGTCTGTTACATACATTTGCACAAAAACATTATACCCTATTTACCCATTTTTAAAGGGTATAAACAGAAAAAAAAAACGTTCAAATTGCCAAAACAAACGTTGCCCGGGAAAAACACGTAAAAATTTGTTGACTTTACGAATAGGCTACTGAAACGTCAATCAAATTGTTTATTATATACACTAGTTGATAATTGCAATTGTTTCCTTAATCATGCAACTCTGGGAAAGTATTCAGTTCAGGAAAAACAGCCCCGATTAGTCACGGATCAAACTGTAAAACGTGCCTTGGGATTTTTATGTTCAGCTTTTGCACCACATATACATAATAATAATAAAAGATTATTAATGTAAATGCATTTATCAGCAAACATGACGGAAGCTGTGGTGCATAATAAATAGGTTTGCATTTGATTAGCTTTGTAAACATAGAGAAATGCACACTTACATATGTATATTGAATAGAAGTACTTGATCTAATGAAGGTCATTTTTATTTTTTTTTTTTTTGGCATTAAAAGGTTAATCACAATGAGGCCGTGGATGATGAGATCGATGGACGTAAAGTGCGCATACCTCGAGCAGGTGGGTAAACATTTCATTCATGAACTTAACTCGATATTAATCATAATCTGTGTGTGCGCTTTAATTAAATGTTCTCTAACCAAACTGCTTCGTCTATAAACTTATTCACCTGTGCCTGTAACAAACAATTGTGTAAGAACGTGAAACTCACCTGCTTCGTAAATATCTCAACTCATATTTCAATTGCAGTGCCCGAAATCGATGATGATGATGATGAACGACCATATGCGAATGGCGTCAATACCGGCGTGGATGATGGCCTGCTAGGCAATGGCGATGGAGCTGGTAATGGTGGAGCCACAATGCCCATGCCGAATGGCGGGCGACGTCGCAGCGTCGGGTATCCGGGCTATGATGGCACCGGCTTTGTGAACATCAATGGCGTGGAGACGCCCATACCGGATGTGAATGCGTATCAGCATAAGAAGACGCTCGCCCAGGGCATGATGGATCTGGCCCTGCTGTCGGCCAATGCAAATCAGTTGCGTTATGTGCTGGAAACCAGTAACCAGCATCCGTATTTTTATCCCAGCCTATTGTTCATATCGGTGAGCATCATATTCCAGGTAGGTGCCTCTCATTTGCATATTGCCAAATTTGCAATGCACTTATTTATGAGGGTGCGTCTCAATATCTTACAGATAGCTGTCGGTGTTGGACTTATATGGAACGGCAGGTTCAATATCAGGAACGAACAGGAAATATGTCGTGCCAATAAAATTAATAATTACACAGTCATTGGCATATTTATTGTAACAGTTGTGAACGTTTTAATATCGGCCTTTGCTGTGGCTGACCGAGCACCCGCAACGACAACGTAGCCGCACAATTTACGATTAGAACTTTTAGAAATTATATATTTAGGCAAATACTCACAATTTTTACAAAAGCACTTTTCCCATTTTTATATTTCTATGCCATTGTGATAAATAAATTGAAAGTCATCGAGTTGGGCTGCGTTTGAATTTATGCAATGGGCGCCAATATTTATCGAACTGCCAATCGATAACTTGTGTTTGCAAAAGTGCGATCTCGGGCTATTTTGATGTTAATATAACAGCTCTGTGCAGCTGAGTGAATTTGTTGTTCAACCCTGGCTGTTGATTTTGTGCAACATTTTGCCGTTGGTTTTAGCCAAATTTGACACGATTATAGCACAATTTCCGTAAACAATATGGCCAAAATACTAAAAGCGGTAAGTGCCCAACTAGCCAAGCCAGTTGACATCCTTCCAGCAATTACATTAGGTGCCCTCCGCGCACTTGTTATTGTTATGTCATCGGCTGTTCGAGCCAAAAATGTGATACAAAAAAATGTTTTAATGCCTGCATCCTTACAGTCCACCGGCTTAACCGGCCTGGCCGTGGCCACCAATCCACACCACACACTGAGCGCACTCTACGGCAAGATTCTGCGTGCCGTTGCCAAAATGCCGCAGGAGTCCAGCTATCGCAAATACACCGAGCAGCTGGTCAAGGAGCGCGCCGACGCCGTCGCCCAGGTAGGTTCTCCAGTCTGTTAGCATATATAATTCCATTATACTCTTCTTTTGGCTTGCTGCAGAACAAGGATATTTGTGCACTGGAGAAGGCCGTTGGCTGCGGCCAAGTCGAGGAGCTGATCGTGCAGGCCGAAAACGAATTGACCCTGGCGCGCAAAATGCTCGGCTGGAAGCCGTGGGAGAAACTGGTGCAGCCGGCACCAGCCAGGCAATGGGATTGGCCACCAGCGCAAATCCTTGAGCCCAAAGTCTAATCAACTAGTTTGTTTTCCAATCGTCTCACACACTTGAATTGTATTCAATAAAAACAAAAAAGCCAAAATCAGCTTGTGATTGTATTTAAGTCGCGTTGCGATAAGCCGAGTCGAACGTTTCATGTCAAGCTCGCAATGTCGTCAGTATACTCTCAACATGCGAGCGCTAAACATCTGTCTGCTGCTGATGCTAATCGTGGCCATAGGCTGCGCTACGGCTGCGCCAGCTGCTCTGCGACAACGTCGCCAAATCGATCTGACGCTGTCCGCCGAGCACGACGACAAGGATGACGAAACGGAGCTGGCACTGGAGGCGATAGCGGGCCTGTGGAGCAGTCCGGATAGCCGCACCAAGGTGGATGGTTCCGCCCGTGTGGTGCATCGTGTCAATGGAATGCAAACGGGTAACACAAGCTACCAAGCGCGCGTCCATTTGCATCACGATTATAAAACCAATCCATATCAAACGTAATGCCCAATTGCCAACAAAACAAAGGTTCGGAGCAGGACTGGCGGCTGGGCGTGCGTGTTGTTTTCAGTTAAGGTCAGACGGGAAGAACGGGAACAGCATTATTACACGATTGCGTGCGCCGATGTCGAGGCACAGTCAATTGATTGATAACTTCTTTGACCTTTTCTTCGAGTAAATACTTCAATTGTAATTGCAAAAAGTCTGAACTGTTTGCTTTATTGTTCACGCACCGCAGCACATTTTCTGCCTATAATTAAACAACAACAACAACAACAACGAGGACGAGGACGACGACAACGATTCCACAACGTAGCAGTGAGAGGAAAATTATATATGTATATATAATAAATTAAGTCGAACAAATAAGTATAAATGCCATTAGTCAATATTATCGAGAGGCATCCAAATACCTTTTGAGTAGCAATCGTGGAGCACCTGTGCAGCTTTAGCTAATTAAAGTGTACGCCCAAAGCCTGCTGCTTTTTGAGCTCATCGACGACAAAGTCACGGAACTCCATGTAGGCGACATCGATGTCCACATTGTTGATGATCTTGTGAAAGTTACCGGGCGTCAGGCCATAGGCAATCTCCATCTCGGCCGCCTTGAGGCGTTTCTGCAGCGTCTCCGCCGTTTCGCTGTTGCGTTTAAGCAGACGGCGCTCCAGTTCGGCGATGGTCGGTGGATTGTTGAAGATCAGTATGGGATTGAGATCGGTTTTCTTGATCTGCTCCACGCCCTTCTGTTCGATGTCCAGTATGCACACACGTCCCTGGCTCTGTATGTCGCGCACAGCCTGTTTGCTGGTGCCGTACATGTTGCCCGTAAATTCGGCCGTTTCAATGAACTCATCATTGGCAATGGCCCGTTCCATGTCCGAACGACTCACGAAATAATAATGTACGCCATGCTGTTCGCCTTCGCGTGGATGGCGCGTTGTGTGCGACACGCTGAAGCCAAATTTGTCCGGAAATTCCGCAAATAGACGCTTGAGCAATGTGCTCTTGCCGGAACCGGAGGGTCCGCAGAGCACAAGTGGACGTGGGCCAGAACCTGCTTGCGACATTAACGTGCTGCTGGTGCCGCTGAACGCGCGATTCACAATGAACAGAAAGCTTATCATATTCGACCCGAGAGCTAACTAGTTTGGCTAAATTAACCCGTAGATGGGAACCTTGCTTAACGACTCGATTGCACTGTGTATTAGTGATGGTAGCGTGTTCCATGTGGCGGCGCGTTAGTTTCCGATAAATGCACGCTAGCGATTAATTTGAATATCGCACGAGCTCGATAACAGCTATCGAGCTTGAAATGAAATACAGTTGATTGGTTTAAAAACGGTTTATGCGCATATTTTTAAACTTTTTTTTTTTGTTTATATTTAGCATAGATTTTTCAAACACATACACACTGAAACGAATGCTGCTGCTGCTGTTTTTTTTTTTCTTTTTTTTTTTTGTATATCGTTATCGGCTGTTAATAATTTGAATTCGAATTACAATGCATTTGAAACTTAGTTAGCTAAAAATAATTATGGATTTCACTTTTCTTGTTTACGTTTTTTTTTATTTTGATCACAATTTGATTTCGCATGCCCAAAATGATTTTTTGGTTTGTGTGTGTTCCGAATGATTTGCCTGAATATAATCTCTTCATTCTGTTCCTGTTCCTGTTCCCGTTTCCCTTTCCACATAATGTTTATAATATTAAGCCTATATCTGCCGAAAATGTGACTAATTTCGAACTCTATATCAATTATATATCCATGCAAGCGGCTGCATTTGCTCGAGATACTACAAAATATGCTAATTTTCAGTCAATATTACGTGCTTTCAATACATTTTCCCAATCTTTGAAGTTATTCGAAAGGCATTTGTTGCATGCAAATTTGTAAACATTTGGGATTATCTTGGGTCTTGTGTCTTGGTATTTCTGGGATGTATAATATATAATTATGGATATTTTTTTTATGTACAAATGTTATAGGTTTTGAGCTTTCGATGCATAATGTATGTGATTCTGTTTTAACGAGTTAAAATCAACTAAATAACAGTACTATCGTGTTGAAAGTGGGCTGGGGGGTGGAAGGGGGGGACTTGCTATTGTAACATCATAAATTGTGTCTATGTATATTATTTATGAAATGTTTTATGTTGCGGCAAAGTAAACGTATTGTGCAATTGTTGCCTGCAATTTATAAGAGCCCTAAAAAATTTGTATACAACTAAAACTAATGCGTAATGTTAAAATTGATTACAAAATATTTGTATATATATATTTAAATGTGTTATCGACCACAAAAAGCTACAAACTAAACTTGTACAACCCCAAAGAACTGAGTTTCAGGGGGGATGGGGGCTGTGGGATGGGGGATGGGGGATGTAGGCGTTCGTCTGGCCCTTCAAAAACGGGGCTATCTTTCTTACAGTCTACAATCATGAATTATTCATATATGTAATGTATATATGCAATTACTATAGGAGCTTAAAAATGTTCATTCGTTTATGTTTATGTACCTTTTCTTTTTTTTTTGTTTTTTTTTTTGTTTTGTTTTGTTTTGTTTTTGTGAATTGCTATTGTTAATTGTAGTTAATTAATTGTTGTTTGTTGTTGTTGTTTGAAAATGAGAAACACGACAAGTATTAACAAAAAAGAAGCTACTAACAATTAACGTTGCCGACGAGTTTTTGTTACTTTCTTTGTGTATAATTATGTATAATTAATTATGTAATAATTATTGTTTACAAATAGAATCAATCAATTTACGTGTACACATTATGTTTGCTTGCGTAAATTATAAAATTACCTAATCAAGAAAATTATAAAGTTAGTAAGTTATAGTTGTTGCAATTGTTGTTGTTGCAGTTGCAGTTCCAGTTCCTGTTGCTGTTGCTGTTCATGTATAGAGCCTCGTGCTTAGGCCTTCCAATTGTTCTGGCGACTACCGCTGGGTCCACTCGGCTGCTGTGGCGGTATCATCTCCAGCAGATATTGACGCTGTAGCTCCGCCGCCCGCTGTATGTCCGCCAAGCTGGTCGCATTGCTCGAGTTCTTTGATGAGCTGGACGCTGAGCTGCTCTTCTTGTTGTTGTTGTTGAAAGCTGTGAACGCAAGATATGAAAGATTCAAATTAAATCTGAAATATTTTATCTGAACATGCAGCTAAGCTAAACTAGACTGAGTAAATCCATTCTAATAGCTTTTCCAGCTTTAGTCTAAGCTTAAGATTAACAAAATACTATGAACTGAAAAAAAAATACTCGATTTGGATTAGTTATTCCTTATATAGAAGTTGTTCGACTCCCACGTGCGGGCCTCTGAAGTTGTCCATATACACATATGTCTGTTAACAGCCGTATTTAACCGCTGTTATCAGCCTCTGTTAACACAATGTTAAGCCTAGCTTTAAACTGCAAATTGTTTATCCTGTTACTGCCGCATTTAACAGCTGTTATTAGACACGTTTAACAGCTCAATGTAAAGATTAGTTTGGCTGCTATCGACTTGATTTACACTGCACATTGTTTAGCTAATCCCCGTCGAATGCCTTTTAACTGCAGCTGTTATCACTTTCGGTTAACACAATGTCAATACTAGCTTTAAACTGATCATTTTTCATCTAATCCGGATGGTTGTTCATGTGTATGCCTGTTAACTGCCCTCATTAACAGCTGTTATCAGCTTCTGTTAAGCTGCTACATGTCTAGCTTATCCTGATGGTGGCCCATTTGCCTGTTAACTGCCATCTTAAACAGCTGCAAATTGTTCAGCGAATCCAGATATCCTAACTGATCCTGATCCTGATCGTGATCCTAACTCACCTGCCACTTGGGCCGCCTGCGCCATGGCCATTTGGTAGGTGTAGAGAAGTGGCGCGAATTGCATCATGTGCTGCGGATTGCCGCCCAGGCCCTGGCCGAGTGCTGCAAGCAATTTAAACAAATTAAATATATACAGTTAATGCAATTTAATAATTGGACAAACCTCTGAAGAGCTGCTGCTGAAAGGCCTGCATGGCCGCAGCTGGCGAGGCATTGCCCAGGGCAGCCGCCGGATTGTTGGCTGCCGTCGAGGCGCCGCCAAAGTTGCCCAATCCGCCAAGTGCCGCCAGATTGCCCAGCTGATTGAGATTACCCAAACTGGCCAGATTGTTGATATTCAGGCCGCCCATGCCGCCCAGCGCACTGAGATGCGCTGCCGCTGCCAGCGTTGCCGCCGAATATTTGTCATAGCTCTGAGCCTGCTGCTGTGCCTGCTGCTGCTGCTCGCGCTGCTGTTCCCGCTGCTGTTGCTGCTGCTGCTGCTGCTGTTGGTGCTGTTGGTGCTGCTGTTGTTGCTGTTGTTGCTGTTGTTGTTGCTGTTGCTGCTGCTGCTGTTGATGGTGGTGATGATCGCGTTCGGCGCGCGAGGAGCGACCAGTCGCCGAGCTGCTGGCCTCGTGGTGATGCGCTGCCGCTGGTCCCGGACTAAGTATGCCCGCCTGCTGTGCCGCAATGGCCGCTGCTGCCGCTGTGGCAGCGGCACGCGAGGAACGTGGTGTGCTCGACGTCGGCAGCGGCGGCGGCGGGGTGGGCTGGCTTTGTGTGGCTGGCGGTGGTGGCGTCGGGCGTGGCGCTGGTGTCGGTGTCTGGCATTTGGTTGGTATAACAGTCACCGATGGCGGCAAATTGACCAAAGCAGCAGCCGCCGAGGCATGCGACGCCTGCAGCTGTTCGCGCTGCTCTCGTTCCCGTTCGCGCTGCAGCGCCTGCTGATGCTGATGTTGATGCTGATGCTGATGAGCGGAGGAGACGCTGTTGACGGCGGATAGTGCAACACTGGTGGCATTGTTCGAGGCGGCGTGCGCCTCGACGGGCGACGGACTGCTCTGGCTGGCCAGACGCTGTTCGATCTCCTGCTCCTGCTGCAGCGCCTTGACAAACGCCTGCTTCAGTCGATTCGTGTGCTCCGCCTTCAGAGCCTTCTTCACATTTGACGTCACGCACTGCTCACATATGACCTTGGCCTCCTTATTGGCTACATTGGCAGAGATTAGGTAAATATGTTATTGTCTATACACTGGCAATGTTAGCTATTTGTGTGCTCACTCTGTTTCTCCCACTTCCAGACGGGCGTGAAGTCGATCTTGCACTGGGCACAACGGAAGGGCGCTGCCACGGCGTTCGCTTTCTTATTGACTGTCAAATAATCGACGACTGTCTCCAGACCAAGCAGATAGACAAAGTCCGTGTTGCTCGGATTCGGTATAAAGTGCATTTCTGGTGGTGGCGGCTTTGGTGGCGGTATCTATCAAAGATGTAGACAGAGAATTAATAAAAGCTTCAAGCAGCTCCGATGAGGAGATACATATTCCTGATCTGGATATGCTAATACATAGATGATAGCTTGGTATGCTGGCTAGAAATCGATATATATCGATGTTTGAACAATTCTGAATTATCGATAGCTGGAATTAAAAAAAGCTTACTCATATAGTTAATAAAGACCCATATTCAAAAATGTTCTGACTTTAATTAGCCTCTGACAATGATTGATGCCTTCTATAGCTACTCGAACTAAACGACTTATCGAAAAAAGAGGCTAGATATCGATATATATCGATCTGGAACAAAACAGAGTTAACGATAGTTTGATGTAACTTTTACTAGCCCCTTAGAATGCAACCTACTATATCTACTCGATATAAAGGTCTAAAGAAATTGATTTCCAAAAACGCGGATCGATATATATCGATTTTTGTAAAAAACTCAATTGCCAAAAGTATGAAAATCAAAACAAATTATTCGTATGGTATACTTAGGCTCAAATTCAAACATTTTCTAACTTCCTATTCCCTGAGTTGAATCTAAACGACTGAGGAACTTAATTGTTTTCAGAAACGTGGCTAGAAATCGATATTTATCGATGTTGAGTAAACTGCGCTGTACAAATGCTTCTATTTAAAATGTTCTCACTTTTACTAGTGCCTGAGTTGAATGCCCTCTATAGCTACACAAGAATATCTGGCACGCGTTACGGGCCTGTAAACTCCTTCCGCTGACTCGTTACAAACACTTGCACAACTAAAAGAGAGCCTCTCCATAGTACCTGTACCCTGTATAATTGTGAGACACGCTTACCTGTAGCAAAGTCTTTTCCAGCTGCTTGCGCAGTGCCATTTTGGCGGCAGCCTGACGCTGGGCGGGCGTCTGTGTCTCCTCGCGAGTTGCGCCGCGTTCATTCTGGAATAAGGCAGGGGATAAAATTGCAATTAAGTTATCTTTGGGGTATTTCAATTAGCAAAACTCTTACCTTTAAATCGTTAAGCTGACTCTGATGCGTTTGTTGAAGCGGTGGCGCCGGCGTTATGGATACGGAATTGCTAATGGTCCCAGGTACCTTCGAATTATCCGAAATATTAGGCTGCATGTTTGGCAATTGGTTTTTAATTTTTTTTTTTTTATAGCATAAGAATGTGGAACAATAATTAGAGTTGCGTTTCAAGGCAGTTTGCTGTGACAAAAATAATTTCTTTCTCTCTCTCTATTTTCTTTTTCTTTTCTCTTAACAGGGTACAAAAGCGTTTGCGCTTTGGATTCAACTAAATTTTGGGCTATGTAAAGGGTAAAAATATAGCTGACAATGGGCCACACAAGGCGCAGCCTACTCGAATTTTACTTGTTATTATTAATTGTAATTTTGTTTTTGTGTACTTTTTTTTTGTTTTTTTTTTAAATACAAGCGAGCAGGCTACGCAAGAGCGCTTTGACAGTTGTGTTTAGTGTTGCGAAACGTTGTGAGCTGAATTATCGAACTGCAATTCGATAGTTCGATTCGATAAAAAGAAAGTAACTGAACGTAAACTCTAAAGTTCGATAATTCAAATGCTTTTTGTTTAGTGTTTAGTGTTGGTAAGCGTGAGTTTTGTGCAATAATTTTGGTTAATCATGAGTTTTACTTTGACTTTCACCGTTAGTTCGACTCTACTAGGCTATTAAACTACTAGACTCAAAATCAAGCGCCTTTTGACACTCCTAACGTAATTTTACGCCAAAAAAATATGGATTGTGTAAGGTTTGAGTATTGACTGTGAGAAGACCTTGAGAAATGTTGAAACTATAGAATGGAATACTTTCTACACTAAAACTTTTGTCCTTGGATCAATTGTTATTTCATGGTGTGCTTTACAACACTGGCTAGTCATTAGAAACTAGTGAAAGTGTTCTAAAATGCTAGAAAAGTTACGAAAACCAAAGTCATTTTTCATGGAATTGATTAAGTCAAGATATCTTAAGTTAATCACATTTCGTATCAAAATTTTGGGTAAAAACTTATTACTACCCGCTACTACGGATCGAAGTGAGTTATTTTGGGATCGATCAGTCTAAAATAATAATTTTTCAAGCCATTTTTTTTAGTTTAAAGAAGACGAGTCCCATCGGATAACATCGGATACTTCTGTTTCTTATGGTTTTCAAAGGAACAGCTTTCTTCAGGAAAGAAGTCGTATTTAATCTTTTCTCTTGACAGTTAACAGTTACTCGCGCCAGTAAAACTCATGAGTATTTTGTGCATATGAGAATTCAAACATAAATCCAATCGAGTAACAAATTTATAAATTATTTGTTAATGTCTTGTATTGGTTTTTTTTTGTTTTGGTTTTCTGTTTTCGAGTGTTGAGTGCAGAGTTCGGTGCATGGTATATCATTTGTGATTATAGATAAATGTTGGAAAAACTCGGCGCTTACGGCAACGATGACATTACAATAACTCACATTGCGTGCTTTCAGGCTGGAAGGCGGCGCCGACGTTGGCGTTATGGTCACCGAGGGCGTTATCGTGAGATTCGGTAGATTTGTGCGCGGCGGCAGCACGCTCGACCTATGCGAACTGTTCGTGGCAGGCGTTATTGTCGTTCCGGCGGCCAGCGTCGTGCCCGCGGCCAGCGAGGATCTAGGTGGCGGGAGTATCGAGTTGTTGCTGCCGCTGCCGCTGCCAGAGATGATGCCGCTGTTGCCGCGCTGCGATCCGGTGCCGGAGAGCGCTGCTGCGGCTGCGGCCACAGCGGCTGCCGTCGCTGCCGACGAGCTCATGTTGCGGCTGTTGCTGGCGCTGTGGAGAGCAAGAGGAAAGGTACTGTTATCAAGTATTCCAGTGTTGCAGGGTTAGCTGGTAATCGATAATTATCGATTTTTGTCAAAAATTTGCCAACTTAGATATTGGCTTTGGGAGAAGGGGTCTGTTCGATAACCTATGTATATGCAAAAATGGGTTGGCTCGTAATCGATACTTATCGGTTTTAGCTGGTAATCGATATTTATCGATTGTTAAAACACTCCATAATTTGCCAAAATTTGATATCGTTTTAACTAATGTTGACATAGATTTCTTTAATTTCTCATCGAAAACTGATGCACATGTCACAAAGAGCTATGCCGAATATCGATAATTATCGATTTTTCAAAAGCGGAGTAAATCATTTCACAAATTTGACATCGATTTCAGATGTGCACATGTACGATAAGCTTTGCGCATATGTCAAATAGGGATAACTAGAAATCGATATTTATCGATTTTTATCGAAAAACACCTGATTCTTTGCTCAAACTGAGATCGATGCATTTAGACAAAGTGAATCAAGTATATAATATATGACTATATATATCTTTATAGTCTTCTCATTTTATACATATCACATACGATTGTCCGATCTATCGATACTAGCGTTAGAGCAAGCCATGCCTCCCACTCACCTTATGCTAACGGCAGCCGCACCGCCACCCAAACTGCTCCGCCCTTTGCTGTGGGCGGGCATGGGCAAGGCCGACGTGGGCGTTACACTGAGCGAACCCTTCGCTGTGAGGGCGCTGGGTATCGCCGCCAGCGGATTATTGGGCGAGACACTGGTGGGCGTTACGACCAGATTCTCTTTCATGACCTGCTGCGACTGCTTCAGTTTCTTGAGGAGCATCAGTTTGGTCTCCTCGTTGCGCAAATCCTGACGCAGTTTGCGCAAACTCTTCTCACGCTCCTTGAGCTCGGCGTGCGTCAGCTCCTTGATGGGCACATACGGCGGCATCTCCTCATCGTCCGTCTCCGAATCGATGTTGCCGTTCTGCTGCCTGCCATTCGTTCGTGCCGGGAGCAGCACAATATCCGGCGCCTCCGCATACGATTTGGGTTCGGTGCGTGGCCGCAGTACGCGGCGTTGTACTTTATTCTCATCCTGGGCGCTGCTCCCGCTCCCGCTCCCGCTGCCGCTGCCATTGCCGCTGCCTGTTAACGCGACATCGCTGTTGTTGTTGTTGCTGTTGTTGTTTGTGTTGTTGTTGTTGCTGTTGTTGTTGTTGGCGACGTTGCTGCTGTCGCTGCTGTTGCCCGTGGCGGCAGCCGCTGTTGCCGTTGTGGGTCCCGGAGCTGGCGTTATGGTCAGCCCCGTATTGTTGGCTGTTAAGGCGCGCAGATCGCGGCTGCTGAGTGCCGGCGCCGTTGCCGTTGCCGGAGCCGGTGTTATGGTTAGCGCCGGATCACGGCCAGAACTCAGACTCAAGTCGACCACATCGTCGACCTCCATTTTGGCCATTTTCGCGCGTCGCGTCGTCGTGATGTCGTATCTTGACCTAACTGTAAAGAAAACAATAAAAAAAAAACAGTCATTTACTTGATTACAATACATATATATATATATATATATATATATACGTGTGTGTGTTTGTGTGTGCTGCAGACTACAGTACGCACTCGATACGGTGCACACGATAATACACTTTATAAGTCAGATACACTTTTCAACGTTATTTTTTAGCTTTTTCTGTGCACAGACTACAGTAAACACATGGTATAGTGCACAGACAAATGAAAAGAGCAAGGCAACTTGTTTTATACAAAATATATTTGCATGCGCTATTTGAATAGACTTCTGATAACCTTAGCGAAGATCAAGCCAAAGCATATTAGGCCACGCCTACACAGATCGCACAAATTGAATTCTTCTACATCACAGTTTGACAGTCTCTGTCATAGGCTTACAGTTTGAAAGTCATCCGATTCACTCTTTTCGAGCAGAGTTAGCAATGCGACATATGGTTCGTTTTATCGAGCGTCTACTGCACTTTAGTGTGCGCCTTGCTAAGGGTTGCTACCGTTTGTTACCTTTTTTTTTTTTTTTTTTGTCATTCACTTTGCAAGCGGAAATCAGACTCTAACCCTTAATAGCTTAACGGTTTGTTTGCAGCATCTCCGTTGGAGTGAATTTTCTGCATTGCTCCCTTTTTTTTTTGTGTGTTTTGTTGGCGCGCAAGCAAATAATGAAGATATCCTGATTTCAATTCATTTAGGCGACGACCTTGTTGAGTCAACTGATAGCCTCGAGTTGGTGCGGCGACAAAAGGAAAGCTGCACTAAATCGCAGACCAGCCAGATTTTTATCGCAGATACACACACACACATACACATATACATTTGTGCATGTGTGTGTGTGTGTGTGTGCTGGCGTTTGATTTTGCAAGCAAGTCACGTTTTTGTTTTATCAAATTTTCGCATACAATGCGCGGCTGCTACGAGAAAATTTACATGGAAACAAAGTGGCCAGCGGGCCAGAGAGCGGAAGAGAGATAGAGAGAGAAAGAGAGGAGATGCAAATTGCTTAATGTTTAGTGGCAACACTGCAGAACTAGCAGACTCAAAGCACAACACACACTCACACACACACACACACACATGCACAAGCCAAAGACACGTGAGAGCGCGAGGTGAATAAACTTTTCAACAAATGCACACATACATATATACATATGTACGGATAGTAGATATATATATTTGAAACAACAACATTGCACTTGCACCTTGTCACATAGAAAGCAAAGTCAATAAACAGCAATATACACAAGCAAAAATGATATAAACAATAAATAGCCCAATTAAAATGAAATTAATGCAGCCGCAAACACACACACACATGCACATGCACAAAAACGCGGCTGTGGCTTTGCAACGGGTGGCAACGCTAACTGAGCTGAGCTTAGACGCCGTGAGACGACCTCAACAAAGTGCGGCGCAAGAAAGAAAAGCGAATCAAACATAATATAAACACGATGAGAACGCGAGCAAAACGCTATATGCTGTATGCATGTGTGTGTGTGTGTGTGTGTCTGTTTTTGTTTGGCCAACAATGTCCCCAACGTGCTATAAATTAACTCGCTTTGAAAGTTGGCAGCCGCACACACACACACACACACACACACACACACACACACACACACACATGCAAACATAGCTCACTCGTTCGTTTTTTCCCCCCAAAGCAGCTGTCGGCAATGTCTCGTTACTTTCCACACTTGTGTCGTCATCAGATTGCTGCTTGAGAGCGAATGCCGCCGCCGTACAGTGGTACAATACAGCGCAGCGAATGCAACAGGCATTGTAGGACACTCAAATTGTGCTCTGCTATTATGATTTTCACTTCTTGCTACTTATACAACTTATTCAATAGAATTAATAATAATAGGCTAATGCCGCTTCCAGTTAATAACTATTTTCAGCAACACTTGTCATTTTCACACGCAGTTCACGAGCGCTGCACCACTGTGAGCGTGAGAATAACAGCGTTTGTATGTGTGCGTGTTAATGATTGTTGTACGCATATTAAAGAGAGAGAGAAAAAAAAATCCAAACATTTAAAATTTTTTTTATAGCTGCTGCTCTTAATAATGTTTATATAAATATACAATACCGGCATTTTATATGCCTGACATTGGGTGTACATTCGGCCCGCTAGAAAAAAGTCGTATATCGATTTGTTGCCTTTGACTTTTGTTGGCATTCAGTGTGGCTATAATTGTGTTTAATAGCGCGCTAAATGTGTTTCAATTAGCGCTTTAAGCTTAGCTGTGTGCACGCCTCTATGTGTGTGTGAGTGTGTGTGTGTGTATATGTATGTCAATAGGATCTGTACACATGTGTATGTGCAGTGAAAGCTCTACTAACGGCATGCTGCCTGCTTTGGCAGGTCAATTAATTTTATTTATTTATTTTTAAACTTGAATATTGAAATCAAGTTTTCATTTATAATTAAGCACATGTTTGTATGACTATGAACGGCAGAGGTATCCGCATAAGGGAGATATTACTGTATATGCAGCAGACAAGTTCAAGTTTAAGGCTAACGGTCGTTGCCACCTGCCCGTAGAAAATGTCAAAGCGAACAAACGGCGAACGGACATTAGAATTATAAGCGAGATAACTGACCGTCGATAAGCGACAGCGTACCAGGAGGACAGCCTTGACTGTCCGAGTCGTTGGGAGTCGTCGAGTGGAGGCTCAAGTACTATTAGAGTCATCTCAGGCGATAACGGCAACAACAACAACAGCAGCAGCAGCACTGCTACAACTAACGAGCAATAACAACAACAGCGACACACACAAACGCAAAAAAGCAAAGAAATAAGGTTAAATCAAAAGTACAGTTGTGTACATAGCGCAGCGAGCAGCAGCACCAACAACAACAACAACACAAACAAAAGCGAAGAGCAACCAACAAGCAAAATGTGTTTGAGTGCGGCTGCGGTGAGCAACAACAGCAGCAGCAGCAGCAACAGCAGCAGCAGCAGCAGCCGACGTAGAGAGAGAGCAAGACAGAAGAGAGAGCGCGCGTCGCACACACACGCGAGCCCAAAGCCAAAGCCAAACAGCAAAATGAGAGTGGCGGGCAGACGGCGGCAGTTGGCGACCGAATTGGGAGTAGTAGAGTGGTAGGGCTAGGGTTGGGGGTGGCGGTGCACTGTAAACTGTCTGGCCACCCCATGCACACACAGACACACACACACACGCACACCCATATATATCTTTATACATACACCCACAGTGCACCTTAACTACGCCCGGGACCTATTGATTTGCATACAAGTCAAGTGACCCAAGCCACGGCCTAATCCGAAATAAAAACCCTAAAAGCAGAGCCTACTCCAATTTCGATTCCCTTAATTTTTGCGATACACGCAAAATAATTCAATTCATTTCAATAAAATGAAGAAAAAATAAACAAAAAATTATCAAAACAAGTCGCAGCAGCTTCGCACACAAACTGACAAATAAACAAACAAACATACAAATATACATAAGTAGGTATATGCATGCATACATACATACATACATATATACTCGTATAAGAAATGCGCATATCTTATGGCCTGCCATTGTATGTACATAAGCAACGGCAAACGGAAGAGAGGAGCAAAGCGGTGGGCTGCTGTTGCTGCTTGCTGCTGTCGCTGAGAGCGCGTGCGAGCGAGCAAGAGCGGCCGACTTGTTGTACATGGCCCATTGTATATATATATTAACTCACCATCACCATCATCGTCCCCATGGTGGGTTGGGGTTGGGGGGTTGGCCTGTGTATTGGTGATAGGGTAGGGTGTAGGCAGCTTGCAAAATGCACTGGCGCATAAATCTAAGCTGCGCCTTGTGAATGTTCAAATTTATTAGTGACGTCAACGCTCGACTATTAGCAGCTGCTTAACAGCCGACAACAACATTTAAACGGAGTGGCAACTCCTCAACTAATTTACAAACAAGAATTAAGAGTCATAATTAACACGAAGCTTTATCTACACTCATTTACATATGTATATAAGTATTAAAGAACGTATAACACAAAAGTGTCAAGTCATTCTAATCTATTAATACAGTTACTCTTACATATAATGTATCAAGATGTGAGCTAATTCAAATCTCTCCACATACAGAGCTATGTATGTATGTATGTGCTTATATACACAAACATATATGTATGTATGTATAGGCGTATGTAAGTACATAATTATGTCTCGCTTGTTTATTAATAGCACCGATAAGGATAAGCTTTGGGAAATTGCAGCACACAAATAATAAGTTTATGTGTACGTTTGTATGTATGTACATATATAAATATATTTCTAGAAAATGGGTTACGTACAAAAACAGCAACAACAACTTAACACAAATTAATTGCGCGCACTACAAACGAAAAATCGGCGCGACGTCGCTGCTTCTGCCGCTACCAGTAGTCGTTGGCCTCTGCCGGCGTCGCGGCGACAGCGCTGCTACGTCAACTAGAAATGTGTATATACATACGTATGTATGTAAACTAACATGTTGTTATTGTTGTTGTATGTGCGGATTTGCTGCTTATCGCTGGACACACATATTTGCACTGTCTTTTATGGCAGCGCTGAGTAATTGGCAAGTGGCTAGGACGGAGGGGGGGTGTGTGTGGAATCGAATGGAATTGGGTTCTGGGCCTAGCAACTTTACAGCTGTTTTGGCAGATGGTTCTGCCAGCTCTGTTAAGGCTGACCGATTGGCAAACTAAATAAATGCATGTGTACATAGGTAGCTACATACACACATCCATACATACATACATATATACATATGTATGTACATGTGCATAGGCATAGCAACAACACAGCAGAATAGCTTTCAAACTGGTTTTAATTGTTGTTGCTGTTAGTTTTATTTTTACTTTGTTTCATGTAGAGACGCTAAGAGAAATAAAAGTGATGCTGCTGATAAAACGGCCCACATACATACATAAATACATACATACATAATAAGAAGCAACAAACAGTTATGCTTAAAGTTGCCAG